GTGCTTCTCCGTCCCTGAGATGGTTCCAGGCCAGGTTGGATGGAGCTTGGAGGAGAAACCTGGGCTGGTGAGAGATGTCCATCTAGTGGAAGATGTCATCCCTCACACAGGGCTTGGATTAGATGACCTTTAAGGTTCTTTCTGAGCAAAATTATCCTCTGATTCTCTGATCTTTGCCAAGCCCTACCATTCCCAGCTCACCTTCCTGGAGTCTGAGCTTGATGATCCCATGGATGCAAAGAGATCGAGGTCCTTCTCCAGGCTGCTGGGCCTGCCATTGGGGATTGGGGTGGTCACAGGAGCATCTGGGAGAGACAGAGCTGTGCTGGATGCTCCCACACAGCCTCAGGCTGGGGAAGAGCCTCCTTGCCAAGGTGCCCACTCATCCTTCTGGTGCTGAGGGCAGGACTCAGGGAGGGTCTAGTCTAGTCTGTGCTATTAACCCCAGAATTACACTCCAGGCACAACCACTGCCCCAGCACAAAGGAAAAACACAAGGAAAGCTGTTCCTGCTGCAGTGCTGAGCCCTGTGCTCAGGAGCAGTTCAAGCACAACACTCCTAGTTGCTCACCTGACCTGGAAAAGGAGCATGAAAAGCTCCTCAGATTGCCCAGCTCAAAGGTGGTGTCACTGTAAGAAGGGCAAAAAGGGCTGGAAAGGCTCTTACCAAGTCCCAACAAGTCTATGACTGGTTCAGATTTAGGAGAGCTTTTCCTGGATTGCTGCGTTTCTTCTTTCTTCTGAGGCTGCAGGAAAAGGACACAGAGAACATCACAAGGTGCTTCAAATTTTGGGCTCTGATAGATCAGAGACTTTTATAAGAGATTAACCTTTAAAATCTTTTTGCTCCCCCAAGTGAACTACGTAAAAGAAGTCAAAACTGAAAGTGAAATTCTCTTTGCTCCTCCACACCGAGAATTTCAGAGTGAATATTACATCGTTGTATTATTGGCCCAACAGGTTGGAACAGATCACATTCAAGGGGGCTCTAAACTAGGGAAAAGAAGCTGCTCAAGCTGGAAAAGTAAGCAGGGAAGAACTGGATTCCAATCTGCTCTGCACTGTGAGGCAGAACACATCTGCTTAGTCTCTGGGTGAGCAGAGGAAAACAAGCTCCCAGTGACTCAGAGCACCCACTGCTCAGCAAAAATGCCTCCAGAGCAGCCTGGATTCCCTCTGCTCTGCCTGGGGGCACAACTCTGCCTCCTGCTCTTACCATTTTCACCTTCTCAAAGATGATGGGTTCCAGTTTCCTTTCTGACACTGCCTCGTTGCTCCTCTTCCACTTATCATCCTTTTCTTTCTGGAGGGAAACCACAGCAAAAGGAGGGTCAGAACTCAACATCTCACCAAGAAAGAGCTCACACATGATGCTGTTACTGCTCTGAAACCCTGAAGAGCTGCACTGAGCTAAAGATTTGACTTCAAGCTTTCCTTTGTCAGCCTTTCCTTTCTCTAAGGAAAACCATAGTGACATGAGGGTTAAAACTTAGCATCACACCAAGTCATAGAATTAGAGTCATAGAATTAGAGTCATAGAATTTTAGGGGTTGGAATGGAGCTTAGAGATCTTCTAGTGCCAACCCCATGGGCAGGGACACCTCCCAGCAGAGGTTCCTCAAGGTTTTATCCAATCTGGAATGAACACTCAGGGTTGGGGCAGCCAAAGACTCACTGGGCAACCTGTGCCAGTGTCTCACCACCCTCACAGGGAAAACTTCTGCCTAAAATCTAACTTCAATCTCCTCAATTTGTCCCCATTGCCCCTTGTCCTGTCCCAGCAATTCCCAACCAACCTTTGCAGCTTCCTTGGAGCCCCTTCAGATCCTGGAAGAGCTCACCCATGATGCTATTGCTGCACTAAAACCTCTCCAGAGCAGCTGAAGAGCTGCACTGAGCTGAAGATTGGAGTTAAAGACTTGTGTTGACCCTTCAAAACTCACTGAAACCCTTCCAACCTGAGCTGGAACCAACTGCAATCAGCTGCAGTTCAACCCTGGAGAAGAGATTAATCACTACCACAAGAAACACTTCAACTGGATCTTTGCACAGTCACAACTTAGGGGTGAGACACACACACACTTAGACCCTCACACCTATTGCAGCTCAGCCAGAAGTGATCAGAGACTAACCCTGAACGCATTGATGTCGATGCTTCGGTCCATGTACTTCTTCTTCTCATATTTATCCCTGATGAAGCTTTCCACAGCTCTGCAGCAGCTTGTTAAGGACAAATGAGTCAAGAATAGAAACCTTACGTAGTGGGATTTGACATGTAGGTACAAGGTACAGGCTGTAACCAAACTAATGACTGTTTAAAGAGCATTTCCAGCAGTAACCTGCTTAAAATAATTTACTCTTGGATCCAACTCCTTTAGCTGCTCAATTTTTTTGCCCTTGGGTTATTCCAAGCATGACAGTGCTATAAAAGGGACATGAAATCAGGGCTTGGATTCTTGGTGTGGGGCTTTTATTTTCTGCTGTTTTATACTTACTCTGTGTCATTAGCACAGATCACAGTGGGCAGAGCTGACCCTGCACGTGAGGAAACACCTCAGACATCACTTTGGGCCAGGAATGATGGTGGGGAGGTGTTCCTGGGGGTATTTTAGGTTCATATCAATACACACCTGGTCACTGAGCATCTAAAAAACCTCCTGTGAGGCAAAAAAAAAAAAAATCAAAGTAAGTTTTCATAAGCATGAAACCTTTTTAATCAGAGAATCCCAGAATGGTTTGGGATGGAAGGAGTTTAAAGGTGATTCAGTTTCACCTCTGCCATGGGGCCCAAGTGGCTCCAAGCCTCATCCAACCTGGCCTGGAACACTCCCAGGGATGGAGCAGACACAGCTGCTCTGGGCAACCTGTGCCAGTGCCTCAGCACCTTCCAGGGAGGAATTTCTTCCCAGTATCCCATCCCAATCTCCCCTTCTGCAGTGGGAAACCATTCCCTGTGTCCTGTCCCTTCAGGCCCTTGGCCATAGTCTCTCTCCACCTTCTTTACAGGCTCCTTCAGGTACTGAGAGGCCACAACTAGGTCTGCACTGAGTTTTTTTACACACTCAGCACCTCTGAAAGCCAAACCTCCCACTCCCCACAGCCTCTCAAGCCTGTGACAGCTCCATGCTGTGACACTGCTGTCCCAGTTTCCACCCACAGAGCTCAATCCTTTCTGTCCCCTTTGCTCCATCCCATTCCCTCTGTTCAGCCTTGGAGGGAGTGAGGGAACTCCTCCTCACGCTGCTGCCCCTAAAACCTCCAAAGCTCCAAAGGCACAGGCTGGAAAGGTTCCATGTTTCTCCCTGGAAAAAGGATGCTGATCTGTCTGAGGCCTCCTGAAGTTCTCAGGCAGGTAAGCTTCATAGAGACGATTTGCTTTGCCATTTCCCATCTCCTGCACACACTGAAATTCAACAGAGTTCTTCAGTTATTGCTTTCACACACCTTCAACCTCTCCCACAGCATCCCAAGCAAGAACTCGAGGCAGGTGCAAATTTGAGGTCTGTTCTGTCCCCACTTGGCCCCTCCCAGCAGAGAATCCTGATGCAGCTGCTCTAATCCCCTCCCATATAATTAGCTAAGCCCCACAGCACAGGATTTATTCAAAGCCAAGCTAAATATCACACTAACCACCCAAAGCCCCTCTGGAAATCCAGGATTTGACTTCTGGAAAGCTCAGGGAGAGGTGAGAAGCAGCTCCACACAACAACCTTTGGCAGTTAAACTCACAGCTCATTTCTCCTCACCCTCTGCTGTTTGCTGAGCCTGAAGTGATGCCATTTCCCCTCCCAATTTACACATCACCTTCCTGCTTCACTTCCCACATCTCTGGCCTACTCAGGCTATGTTTACCTCCAAGTTTCACTACCAAAACAGTGTCCCAGTGCTCACCTGTATCTGTTCCTGCGTCCACTGGTCGAGGTTGACGGATTTGACCCTGGATATGTGCACTCCCAGGTTCCTGTGGATCCCAGCACAGCGGATACAGATGAACACACCAATATTCCAGGATGCCCATCGTGGCCCTGTGGAGAGACACAAGTGTTTCACACCAAACCAACCTTTTGTTACCTCTTGAGCAACTGAGAAACTACCAAGTGAACTGGGGCTGAGCTGTTTTGAGTTTCTCCTCTGGCTTAGGAATGGGGATGAGGCATCAGCAGGATGTTGGTTGCCTCCCAATTATTCTACTTTAATTAATTGCCTTCCTTTTCCATCTCCACAAAGAGGAAGAGGGAAGCAAACAGCATTGAAACCACCCAAGACACTACAACCCTTGAGTTCATCTTGCTTAAACAGATGTAAACCACATCAAACATCATCTTTGATGCTGCTTTGTTCCTTCTTTCTCAAACAGCCTCATTGCAGCTCCAGAATATTCCCTCCTGCTGGAGGAAAAGCAGCTAAAAAACCACTCAGCTTGGGGACTGCACCATCAAAGCTTTGAGGAGCTACAGCTGAGCCAGGAGACACCCCAAGCTCAGAGTTTTGGCCACCACCACCAGGGCCAGGACCCCAGGGTACAATCCTGCCATGGAATCTTAGCAGTTCACTCCACAGTTTCCACAGCTCTGATCAGATTCCAGCTTTACATGCAGCTTGGACAGGGAGGAGAGCTCCAAGGTGTGTGCATGGGACATCATGCCAAGGGCAGGGGGGAAAAAAACCCACAAGGGAAGGATGAACAAACGTAGATTTACTCACTGCACTCAGGAAATCCAACAGTGCATCATCACCCAGAGGTCCAACACATCCTTCCACCCCTCACAGACCCTTCTCCCAAGCCAGGGTCTCACCCAGGCCATCAGGCCCCTTGGTCTGAAGGTTTTCCTGAAGGAAAACCAGCTGTGGCAGGTGTATTTTCCCAGCAGATCCCAAGGACACCAGCTCAGTGTCCTGCTGCCACAGGGGCTGGGGGGTCACTGTCACAGGGACCTGCCAAACAGCCCCAGCAAAGCCACATCCTCAGTCAGGGCCCTGAAAACTTCCCAGAAGCCACACCAGCCCTTTTTATAGGCATTCTTGCAGATGAAGAGGGTTTTTTTTTCCTCTTGCCATAGCTAAAATAGCAAAGCCTAAAGCTAATGAGAGTGAGGTGGGAGGGGGAAGAGAAGTGTAATTTTCAAGCCCTAAAAAAGCAGTGCTGAATTTGAGGCTCTAGATATGCTGTTAACAGTTTAATTCCTCTTTAGGGGCAATCCTGAGGGATTTGGGGCTTTGGCTCATGGATCTTTCCAGGGTGAAGGTGTAGAACCTCTAACTTACCTGTTCCAGGTAACTCATGATGTTTAAAAAGCCTTTATTAAGTCTTCTGCCCTTTCCTGCCATAATTTGCTGCTTATTCATTCCAGAGTGGCCCTGGAGAATGATACTAATTTCAGGGAGCTGATGAATTCACTTCCCAGCTGAGGAACAGCTCTTGGTGAAGACTTTAATAGAAGTACAGCATTGCCTAGAGCTCAGTTCCTTCATTTTCACACCAAAACCTAAGGCTGAAGGCAGACTCAGCACCTGAGCAACACACAAACAAAAAGGATTGGGATAAAATCTTAGCTCAGTGTCTTCCAAGATCCTTCCCTCGATTCACACATGGAATTCTCTCCCAGAGACACCCCCAGGCTCTAACGTGAGACTGGCAGCAGGATTAAGCATGAGATTCAAGGTTAGATTTAAACTCTCGATATATTTAGCCTTTCTAGGACTAAAAGGATTAAGAGTCAGGCAGATACTCCAGCAGGGCTGGAGTAATCAGCTCACTGCTTTGTCACATGGACTAGCTCAAAACCACTGCAACCTCCTACCCTGGGAGGCTAAAACCAACATGACTCAGGGGGACAGTGTCACTTTTTTTAGTGTCACTTCAGTGGTCTGAGACAGCAAGGGCTGAGCACAGCAATTCCTAGACCCCAGCTCAGACACATCCCAGCATGGAGCAGCTTCCCTGGAGCAGGGAATATTTAAGAGAGGCTTTCCCAAATCCTCCCTGCAGTTAGCAGCTGGTTTGGCAATAATTACATTACACAACCAAGGGTGAGCTCTTGGCTGGGGATGTTGCAGTCAGGGCTTGGGTGTCCTTGCAGAGCCACTGAGAAAGGTGAAACAGCAGTTTGGGGGTGTTGAGATGCAGAGCCAGGAGGTGGATTGGGAGCTCAGCACTTTGCTCTCTGACATGGGGGTGACACAGGAGAAGGATATTTTGGATGAATGTCCAAAATGCAGCCAAGGCACAATGTTCAGGCTGGGTCAGGCCAGATGCAACAAGCAGAGGCACCAACCCAAACACACTCTTATGACACCTCCAGCTTAGAATCATAGGATTTAGGGGTTGGAATGCACCTTATCTAGTCCCAATCTCCAATCCTGGGTAGGGACAACTCCTCACTAGATCAGGTTGCTCAAGGTTTCATCCAACCTGGCCTTGAGCACCACCAGGGTTGGGGCAACCACAGCCTCCCTGGGCAACCTGTGCCAGTGTCTCACCAACATAAACTTAATTTAAACCAACATTTGAACCTTTTAATATCTCACAGCTCCCTCAGTGGGGTGCACGGGGGGATGGGTTGGCTGCAGATGTAAACATCCTCCCACTTCCCTCTTCTGAGGAGCTCACACTAAGCTATCTCTGAGCCCAGCCCTGCCTGGGGAGAGCTTTGTACAGTCATTTCCCCCACGGTTTCACATGCTGTTTTCAAGGTGACTGATTTGCAGAAAGCTCCAGGTGGTGTTTACAGATGTTTCAGCACATGCTGCAGCATTTCACTTCCCAAAAGCTAAACCAAGTGCAGAAGCTTCAGGGCCTAAGCATTGACAGAAGGGGAAAAACACCTTGGGGCAAGTAAAGGGTGACATTTTTCAGAGGAAAAAATGGGTTTCTATCAGTCTGTAAAGACACAGCAGCATTAATCAGCATTGCTGGAGCTGCTGTGGAATATTATCATCCCTCACAGCCTTTGGGCACACCCTGAGCCTCAGCACTAACTGTTGGCACCAGGACATGGCACAGGGAGCACCTCTGGGCTCAGGAATCATGGATTGACCTGCAAAAGGTTTGAGGATAAAGCTCACAGAAACATTCAGCCGGTGAAACCACTAGAGAGAAGCATGAAAGAAATTGTTCCTGGCATGAATACTCTGCTGAA